GTCTCAATCTAATAGCAATAAGTAAGTTTAGTCCAGTGATATATCGGCTGCTTCATATGTATTAGTCTCTTTGATCAAATCTGTATTAAAGCATTAACAAACTGTTTGAAATGCGTCTCTAAAATCTAAGTATACGTTTAAACGACATCGATTCACTAGTGTTGAAATTTCCTCGAAAAACCTTTTTTAAACTTATCAAAATTGTCCGTTTTTTGAATTTTAATGCATTTGCTTCGTAAACGCGTTTAAATGCTCGTGTTTCCACTCAGTATAACGAGTTTAAAATCAACATTGATTCAACCGTTAAAAACGCGACAATTCGGACATTTGTTGAAAGTTAAAAATGCGCTAAAAGCAAACATTGTAACGTTCGTTATAACGCATTAGTTGCTTATTTTTGACTGTTAGGGTACAACTTGTTTAATCATGCAAAATGCAAGTCAACATCAACCCATTTTCGATACTCACGTGCACAAAATTGTGCCGACTGTGTGATATTCAGTTGGTACGAACCTTTTTTCTTTCCTCTTGGGACAGGTTAAAAAAGCAATCATGTGAAATAGTACATTTTTTTTCTTTATTAATTTCTCGAGAACAAGAAAAAAATACCAAACTCAATGATCGTTGCATATATATACGTGTATAGTCTATAATATTAATTTGTACCGTTCTACAGCAAACAAACTAGTCACAAATCAATACTAGAGAAATAAATCAAGTAAGACAACAATCAAATTCCTGACTGCTGATCGTCTTCGAACTGAACATATTGTAAAAAATAAGATATACAGACAGACACATTAACGACTAAAATAACTTTTAAAAAATTCACTATGTAAACTGTGAAAAATGTTTCATTAATGGCCAAAAACATGTTAAAATAATTTACGATTAATAATGTTTTAACACGTTGATGAAGAGTAAATGTTTCGACTTGTTGGAACTTTCATTGTTTTTACTTGTTTTTGGCGATCAATCAAACATTTTTATTTCTATGGACAAACTATAAGTTTTCTTTAAAGTAATTACCTTTAGCCTAGATAAAAATAATCTAGTCTTTTTTTGGTTTCATAATAACATGTTGTAGTAATTTTATAGAAATAAGTTTCGCTATATTCTTATAAAAGAAATCGAAAAATATCAAGTCAAAATTCGAGTTATTAAGAGACAAACGTTGCCGTCATTGTTATAGAATCAGAAAAAAGGTTAATTGTTTTCTTACTTCGACTAAAAGTAATTACTTTAAAGGACACTTTTATAGTTTGTTAATAGAAATACAAACTTAATGGTGCAACCTATCATATACAAAAGTCAGTTGATAAAGATCAATCAATAGTGAAGTTATACAAGAAAATATTTTTGTGCAGAAGCTTTTGGGATATCCTGTGAATACTTCATGCAGACTCTTGAAACCACAGTTCCTACACAGAAAATGATAGAAATTGTCAAGACAAGGTTGATCTCATAGACTATCTAGTTCTTGTTCTATTCTTTCACAAAAATCGAAGCCTATCTAATCTCATTCGTTCTATCTACTTTGTTTCACTTTAAATATTCTATCCTGTTTCTCACATCTAGAGCCGATCGGGTTCAAGTTTTTCAAGACTCGAACCTTACTCTTAATATTCATAGTGAAATTTACTAATCCGGATCTAATAATTGTTTCAAAGATACAAGATGTTTCTTACAATTATTTGTAGTAAATTATCTATTCTTTTTATGAGAAACTCAAGTTTCATATTTAAAATAACTGATGAATTAGATCGTTGAGGGGAAGCGAATATATCTTTAAAAATTACAATTGATTCAGAGATTGATAAAAGAAAATAGCAAATCATTGATTATCTAACAAGATTGTTATATTTAGAAAACTACATCAAATTTACAATTACTGATCATGTTCTACTCGATAGACAGTACTAAATTTATCGTTATCTGAATCAGTTCACAGTATCAAAATTTACAAAGGGAATATAGTCGAAAACAACAACGATATTCTATATGGAAGTGACAATTATCGAAAGCTTCTTCTCTAGTATGAAAATGATAATATCATATTTACAACAGTGTTTCCACTTGCTTTCCTCTTAAATGATAAGATTTTTTCTTTGAGTTATTCATTTATCGAAAACTTAAAATTATTTCTATAGTTAGTTGAAATAATAACTGTCCAAAACGAATCATCTTATAAGTGTACTCGTAATAAACTTTCTTCATCAAATGCTTTGACAGAAAAAACAATTATTGAGATACGGCTATTCTAATTCTTAACCATTGATTCTGATGTTTGTACTTTTCTATCTTACATATGATGATCACCGTAACTTGATTGATATCAGATCGTTTCAAAAAACGTCACAATTACTAACAATATGCTAAATGCCTTATTCCTTCTATCATTTTGAAAACCTTTCTTCAGAAACGAGATTCATCTGATTTGTGTATGTTTATTCTTATACACACAATAAGGATATGCATTCTCTATGCAGAACCATACATTGTTTCATACATAGAACGCAAATAAGCATATGAAAAAGTAAGAAAGAGTAATTCTTTTTCTTTTCTTCGTGTGTTCGATGGAAAGAAAAGACAGTGAAAGAAATATTGTTTCGAATGTAGACGAATGATAAACTATGTTTCTATCTGCTGAAGAGAAAAAGAGATAAAATAAGAAATGACTAATTATTGAATCTTAATAAAATAACTAAACTCGAACTTATTTTTTTTTAATAACTATAAGCAATAGGAAAATCGACTAACTTAATTTTTGTCGTTGATCACGTTTATTACATATAGGTAGGAGAGCTGTAGACTATACAAAGTCTAAAAGGATATGGGCCCATGTTGTAATTTTGCTCAGATACAAAAGTTTTACTGAAAAATTAGAATTCAGCAGGAAAATTTCTGTATTTGAGCAAAATAACAGCATGGGACCATATCCTTTTAAGCTTTTTCTAGTATACAACTCTCCCACTTACAAGCAAAGTATAGGACCAAAAACACTGAATAACATCGGGATGATCTGTTTTGAGTAAGGAGGCGAACGATTCTATTTATTGAACTACATCTATTTAATTATATTTACGTTAGTATTTCTAATTGGATAACTACTTAAAATTGGAAAACAACACTAAAATGAATTGATAAAGTTTATTGAACCTATTTGGATTTTTTATATTTGATATTTTAGAGAAATAGTCAAACAGAAAAGTGAATTCAATATATACTGATAAATTCACACTCAATCTGATTAATTGAAGCAATCTGAACAAATTATTCGCATATAATAAATCTGAAAATTATATTTATGTCTCATTTGGCTTTAATATTAAATGTATTTAAAACGCACAACTTTGTTTTACGTAGTTCTACTGATAGCGTTTATCTTATTTAGGACAATTTCGATTTTAAACCTTGAAATAAAATCCGTCAATTCTGTAATTAAGTTTATATTCTATAATCCAACTCATTTGCTCAATTATTCAAATGAAAATGATAGCTTGCAATATCAAAATCTTTGTGACTTCTACTTAGAAGGAGTGAATATTCACAATTATCACGAACTAGAAAATCATAAGTGTAGATCAATAGAAAGATCATGCCAAATTCATTCATGTTCAGCGGCTATTGATATTGTAGTCTTATGGGTTAACAGTAACGATCAAAATTGGAAAAATTTGTTTAATTCAACTGTGGAATCCATGAGGATGATTAGACCTGATACACTTAACCTGATTCGAATGAACCGATTTCGCAATTCGAAGCAATGGAAACATTTGTTGAGATCAATGACAAAATTCAAGAGGATGATTAACCATAAATCGATGTCAATGCACCGATTTCGCGATTTGAAGCAGCTGAAATACTTGCTTAGATCTATTGAAGAAAATGGCAAAGAATGGGCCAGGAGAATATTCCTAGTGACGAATAATCAAATTCCAGATTACTTAAACATTAGTCATCCGAGAATAAGAGTTGTAAATCATCAGCAACTGTTTAAATACACTAATGTGACGCCTCCAAAATATCCCTTATTCAATTCAATAGCAATTCAATCTATGATACACAATATTCCTACTCTATCATCTCCATTTTATCTGTTCGACGATGATATTTTTATCAAAAAATCTTTACCAGTTACCGAAATAATTGATGGAAACAAAAGTATAGTCGACTTGAATACTGATAAATTTAATATGCGTGTTCAGCCACGTGAATTTTATGACAGCAATATACATTCGGCTATCAATATGGCACTAAGAAATCGATCACTTCATTTACTTGGTGACAATGGTTTCTATTCAATTGGTTTTCATGGTCCAATACTTCATTACAGAGAGATTGGTATTAAAATATGGGATGAATTTCAACACGAAATGCATTCGCTAANTTACTTGTATTCATATCAGTACCTATTCAGTTTGCCGGAAATTCACCGGTTCAAGAACAACTTATAAACGGCCGTTTTCCGGCCGGACCGGACCGGTTGAAAAATTCAACCGGCCGGACCGGACCGTTTTCAAAATTTCTTACCGGTTCCAGCTCTGCATTGAATATGGACCTTTTTTCAGATAATGTCTGATCGACGTTTCAAAAATGACATGCAATCTTTACCTATCATTTGCTCTCATTGTAATTGGACTGGTGTTTTCAACAATTATCAAGTAATTTCAATCAATAAGACCCGATATTTTCATTTTTTATGTTCGAATTTCCTAGCAACATCTTGATGAATTTCATTTCAATCCAAAATGTAATTATTGTGATAGACAGTTCCATTCAGTCACTCAATTCAATCATCATAAAGCATTTCAATGTCCAAAGATTACTGTCGAATGTTCATTAAAAGATTTTGGTTGCTATGAGCAAGTTCATATATTCTCTAACATAGATTTTCAATCAATTTAACACCTGGTTTTGTTTAGATTCTTCGTTGTGAATTAAAAAATCATTATCAAAGCAAGCAACATCAATATTCCATACTAAATGTTATTCAACAAATGAAATTACAGCTAGAAGATGCTCAAAGGACATATAATGAAACGGATACTAATATTCCTCGAAAAACTACAGTAATGAACGATGTTTTTGTTCTAAGTCAATTGGATGAACTTCAGGAAGCTATGAGTATGTTTGAAAATGGTGCTGAAACATTGAATGAAGATGTACAATGTCTGAATACTGAATTACTTGAACATCAAAATAAACTACAACATCTAAAAGAAAATGCTTCAAACGTGAAATTAGCTGTTGAAGAGGAACACATGTCTTACGAAGCAATGATGCGAAACCTAGAAGTCTTAAGTCAAGAGTTGATGTCATTGAAAGATAAGATTGATGAAATGCAATACGTGTCTTACGATGGGACATTTCTATGGAAAATTACAAATTTTCAAGAGAAAATGAGTATGTAAAAGACTTTTTCTACGTAGTTCAAAGTGACATATGTGATAATAGAGCAATCATACTTCAGTGGCATCAATACATCATAAAGTAAACAATACATTTACTATTATATAAACTTGAGTAAGCTTGAACATATGATAAGAGCAATTGAGGCAAAATCAGGTAACATAGTAGATGAATCATTAATGATATTGAACTATGAAAATTTACAACCTCTTGTGTTTAATTATTTGTTCCTCATTATTGATTTTGTTTGATATTTAGATGATGCTCTATCGGAACGACAACCATCGATTTATTCAACTCCATTTTATTCATCACGAACTGGATACAAAATGCAAGCTCGACTTTATTTGAATGGTGAGGGTAACGCTCGGCGTACACATATGTCATTGTTTTTTGTTTTGATGCGTGGTCTAAATGATGCAATATTAAAATTTCCCTTCAATTATAAGGTTATATTTTGTTTGTATGATCAAACCTCTCAACAGAGACATATTATTGACTCTTTTCGACCAGATATTCGATCGAGTAGTTTCCAGAGATCACGCTCAGAAATGAATATTGCTAGTGGTATACCTAAATTCTTTTCATTAACAATAATTCAACGAGAGGATAATCTATATGTAAGAGATGGTACAATTTTTATTAAAATAATGGTTGACTTTGGCGATATGCCGAAAACATTGTTACGATTTGCACTGACGTCAGTCACTTCTGTTCTTGAACCAACATTTCTAAAAAGATAAAGACATTTCATCTTCTAATAATACAATAGAACATTGCATAGATCAACCGACATAGAAACGATCATTTGCACTAGACACTTCACTTTTGTTTTTCTTTCACATTTGCTTGTTTAAACGGAAATAAATAATGACTCTAACAACAGACTTCTAATTGTCATACCAAACGTTTGAGAGGTCAATGATAGTGACTTATCACATTGGAGAAGTTGATCCAACATCTACTGAAGGTATTGGTCTATTTTGCCAGTAAGTGCATCTTTTTTTTCATTAGCTGTAAATGAATGTAACACATTACCGAAAAAAGGATTCATCATAAGCTTTGAGTAAGGTTTATCTTGAGGGTGTGAGTGTGAGTATGGATGTTGGCATGAGTATTCACTTCAAATATACCCACACCCACCCTCATTCTGGCAAAATATTCCGTTAAGTGAAAAGTAGAACACCTTGACTTATGTGATTGCCAGATATTAAAAGCAACGGAAATTATATTGGAAATTACCATATTTTAATTTCAAGATATACAGGATTTCTTCAGTTAATCGATGAAACAAAGAAGAATTTTTCATACCGACATTTCTTCGTTCATGTTATTTCTTTGATGAACGCATGGCAAAACAAATTATATGCACAGTTTGAAAGAGGAGAAAATTTCCTATCGAATGGTAAAAGAATTTCTTCCCAGACTTGTACCTATGAAGAAATAATAAGGATCGACATTTGTGCCATTACTTTTGCATTGCATGTTAGTTATGATGCAAAAATAACCTTTTTATAAGGTAGAATGAATAAGTATGAACAATAATATAATTAAATTTGTAATTTTTGATCCGAGTTACCTCCGATGATATTGATTATTATAGATATTTAGCTTAAGGCATAGAGCTTTCTAAATTATTTATGATTTATTAGAATTAACTATGCAGATTGTTTCTCTTTTCTAAGTCGCTTACTGTAAATTAGTTTTTATCTAGATTTGAATCATGATGATTTTAGAGCGATATAAATTTGTTACTTTTTATTACGTCTACATTAATAGTTATTTGTTCCCTCCGTCTTTTCCTTTGTAATTTTGACCGAGTGCCGTAAATATAAAGCATGATATCATTTGATATGAATGCATTTTTCTAGCTGAGATATTCTCAATAGTACCATATTGCATCATCCTGTTAGACGAGCAGTGGAGTTTCTCATAAAACATAAGATTTATTAATAATAATTTTCTCATACACCCTTTTCTTAGAAAAATAAATAGCTTGTTATCTAATCTCAGAATATATTTGATGCGTTTTACATGGTACCAGACTTGTATGTGATCTATGGATGAGTGAGCCTTTTTTATGATACAGAGTATTCTTTAATCTACATCATATCTAATCCATGGATTAAATAAATTCGAGTTTTCGATGATAATTAAATGATCTGTAAAAGTGAGCACTATTATCATTTAAGATAATATTACTACCTCAGCGGTAGAATAAAATTACTATTCTTCGTTTTGTCATCGCTAGGCAGGCATAAAACTTGGATTTTCCCGTTGTTGCAATTATTTCAATAGCCCACAGGGTGTGGGCGTGGGGTGTGGATCTTTTATTGGGAAACATCCTCACCCATCCACATAATGTCTCACATCAACACCCTCGAATCGTATATGATACGTTATGAAATTTCAGAGAGGGAGAGAGGCTGATTTACCGACTGATCCGGCGACACTAATTTCTTAGAAGGAAATGCATCAAGGAATAAAAGCTCAAAAAAGAAACCTTCACTTTTGTCTCTATAAGTATATAGAATCTGAAAAATAGATTTGATCATGCTCATGATCTGCTCCATTGCTCGCGAAGTATCTCTGTTAAACAATTACGTTTGCAGATTTGAACATTTGTAATTTACATAAAGTTTGAATAGATCACTGACGTATCCAAAACTGTATCCGTTGACTATTGAGCACTAATGAGCATCGAGTCATTATGTATTAAAGCTCTATATACCTGTGTCAAATATAGCTAAACGGCTTCTTCTTTCACAAAAAAACTCAACACATCAGCGACATTCTTATTTTGTGCCCCACAAGCTTTTGAAAAATCCTCATATAAGTCATTGCGCTGTTTGACATAACCCCTGTACTGTTCTAAGGGACAACTAGCGCTCGGACCACTTGCACACCCCGGTAGAGGCTTCGGTGACGAATTGACAAGAACTCTCACAAACAATCCGGTATACGCAGCAGATGTACAATTGAGTCGCTCCAATGCAATGTGACCCAAAAATGTGATGAAGCTGCTCGTCTTCCACGCTCGCTGATAATTAATTTGGTCGAGTGGGAGTATAGGGTTTATACTTGCCGTGCCAAGATATTCAGAATCGTTGTACAGACCTAAAGCTGTCATGATAAGAGGTGGTATTTGTCGATGGGCGACACTAATGTAAAGATGTTGATCCTTGGTGGTCGTATCACTGAGAAGATCGCTCGATGCAACGACCCAAGGCATGCCGAGGCTAGGTGATAGATCATTCCCATAACCCAACTCATAGTAGTACTTGATATCGAAATAGTACTCGAAAGATAGCCATTCCTCGGGCGTAAAAATTCCACAAAAGGGTGAAGAACCTCGAATGATAGTTTCATATCCGCACAGCTGTTGCATCGCCAACACATCACTGGCCGAAAAGTGAAATCCCGATACCTTAGCATTCAATCGCGCTATAATCGGCACTGAATAATATGTTAACCACATATCCGCTGGTTTCACACCTGTCGTAACATCAAATAGTGGGCAAGTTTTCGTCGGTGTTAGAGTATTAGCTCCTCGATCCGTGTCTTCTGAAACGCTGACGACCTGACCGATCGTTTCATGGCCACTATAAAGTCCAGCAAAGAGCGCATCGGCACTGTGCCTTGTTCGATTTGAATCTGATGCCCAGACTTTGAAGGATGCATCCTTTTTCACGGGTAATAGATCCGGGTATCGATATGCGAGGCGAGTGCCTAGGCTAAATGCCTCGAGGAACCCGAGTTTCGACACTTTTGCGATTTGTTCCTGGCTGTTCGAGATGGGTGAGGTCCAGTGAGTTAAGAAAGCTAAGTCTGCCGAATTTGAAAAGTCGACGTAATCAGATGAGTTCTTGAGACGTTGCAAAAATGGTTGGATAATATGCAAGTAATCATACTCGTTAACGTAAATAGAGCCGTGGCGTACCTGATAGATGGCCTTGTCGACTATGCAACCTTGAGGAGGATCAGGGCTTAGTCCCTCGGAGTTAGATTCAAAGTAAGGAGAAATGGCAGTAAAGTGTTCGAGGACGTTGAACTTGTAGGAACCATAGGTTGGGCCGGCTGAGATAATCCATGGAGAATGTAAATCAATGGCATATGCTTTGGTAATAACAGAGATTACGAGCAGTAATAGTGAAGACATCCAAATGAGTGTAATGACTTGTTTTTCGTCTTGATTGTTCGGATTAGGTTTCAATATGGACAGGACAACTGAAACGAAACTAATTTTAAAAATATTTTATGTTCTTGTTCTCCATTCTTTGGCATCTATTTACCTGTCGAATGATAACGAACAGAAAGAAGTAGCAATGGTAATATATGTGTGATGCTAACGCTTGATCAATAACAATAAAACGATTGCGTTACATTGGCATGATCGTGTGAATGAGAACAAATATTTGTCCTTTTCGTTCTCTCACGATAATCTGCCTAATCCAAATGGCATTATCCTTGTGCCTATTGATGATGATCATAGAAAGAAGCGGTGGTAGCACGGGCGTGTTGCTTTCAATCGACTTAACCTTATCATATGAGCGAAATCAAAGTTTCTTCTTCTCTTCCTCTCATTTTTCGTACATAGGATATGTGCTATTTGTTTAAGGATTCATAAAAAATGGGCAACAAAATGTAAAGTACATTACAAATAATTTATTTGTCGTGATACGAGGAAAAGAATATAAAATGAGATCAGCAGTCAAGCTACTACAGTGATATGCGTGATACAACTAATTGTTTTGTCTATATATTTGACTCGAAAGGAAATCGTTGAAGAGGATGCAATCAAACTGTAATGACATCGTTTGAGTCATGTTTTTTATTATTAGCATTTTGTTGTATGATTGGCTATTTTCTTTCGTTAATCTGTATGATTGTCCTGCTTATCTCTATGGAATGGAAATTGATACTTTTCAGGTTTTTATTAATTCCTTTTGTGAGCAAAAGTACTCAATCTCGAATTTACTTTGATCGCTGTATTGTTAATTTAGAGCCTATAATCGGTATTAATAATGAATTTATTCATTTTAATTGCATTTTTTTTTTCATAGAAAACATTAAATATTGTCCAATCATTATTACTTATCTATTTCATGAAGTTTTTCGAACTATGTTCAATAATGTTTTCTTGGCAAGGTTGGTTCATAGCTTCAGCTGTTGTGCGGACATTATAATGCATTAGTCATTATTTTTTATTTTTATAATTAGTACATAGATCGTGTTGTCATGTGTGATATATGTTTAATTATTGCATGTCAACAGTTACTTCGTTTATCAAGTCATACAATGTATTATTTCAGTTCTGGTCAGATTAGCAATCAATTAGCAAATGATGGTAATAAAGTAGAATTAGTCTACTACTTTTTGAACTACTTATAAGTATGTGATTTTAGGAGAATATGAAGTGAATGATCAAATGTTCTTTTAACGGTGAAAATACGAATGAAGTATTGCAAAGTGTTGAGTAGTATTACTTTTTTATAGGTCACTCCAGTGCAAATCATCGTTGTTGTTTTTCTATACTGGCATTTGGTTAAGTATATCATTTGTATTGCTATTAGATACACGCTATTACTCTTATATCGATTCAATCATTATTCAGTCGTCTGTTAATTCATTCACAGTTTGTCTTTTTTTGTATATTTTATTATTATTGGAATGATAAAATTTCATTATTTCTAGTCACGAAGTTTTGAAAATAACTGATGAACATGTCAAAACTATATCTAAA